TCGGACCAAAAACTTCAGATTTGATAATGATGGTCCTTTGAAGTGTCTAGTGAAAGCTTTTAGTGTATTCGGTTAGCGAATAGGTTCAAAATGCTTCAAAGGCTCTGCGAGACTGTGAGGGAGTCGAATGCATGGCGTTTACCAGGGCCTGGTTATTTATGCTTAGTTTTTCCCTATAGATTATTTTTTTATAACAGCAACAATAGAGGAATTGCCAGCTTTAAATATAGATGACTCCTTCAGAATAGGTTACGGTAGCTGGCAACCAGTAACTATGCCCTAGAGAATAGATTCATTGTTGTCCTAGACGAACAGGTGGTCACTGCAAATTAAATGAAAGTAGTCACAATCAGAATTCCGCTGGCGGAGCAAACAGAGCTTTGCTAACGGTGTGTGGAAACAGCCACATGCTCGTAATCAGCATGAATAGGAATAGCAACGATGGCGCCGCGCGTTTCCATAGCAAGTTCTAATTGTTGGTCGAACAGCTGATTGCGATGAGAGCTGTCAGAGTCGCCACTACAGGAACGCAGTGAGAGTAATCAAGCCGTTGCCGACCACTGAGTTGTTTTACGACTCATTGGTCAGGTGAACGAGTCGAGAGTTCATGAGGCATGAGCTCTGCCATCTTCACTGGGCATCCTACAGTATTAGGCATTATGGCTCTTTTGTCTTATTTACATTCACATTTAGGATGAACCTAGTTATGGTATTGAAACAAGTAATCGTTTAAAAAGCAGTACGGAATGGAGCAAAATGTTCGATCCGTAGGCTAATGGTTAAGGGAAGTGTTCAGGGAGAGGTGGTAGGAAATCAAGGCAACTCACAGGATCCAAATAGGAGCAGCTGAATGGGATTGGGGCAAACCAAATTCGTGTCGGGAAATTGCGAGTTCTGTGATGGTCCTAAGTTATCTATGACGACGCCTATTTTCTTCAACCAGTCCAGAGTTCTTGGTTTTTCCCGAAACTTGCATGGACGGCCAATCGAGGAATCGGCTTTTGGGAATCGGTGAAAAGCTCCAATTTCTAATGCTTTTCCTTGTTTTGTACTATTGGAATGTTAAACGCATTGATTACTTTGTTTATAGGGTTTTCTGAATGTACTCGGTTGTAGATACTTGTGGGAGAATATAATTTCGGAGTGAGCTATGAATCACAGTGTAGTTTCTCAGATTCCAATCGGCTAAGTTGGATACAAATCAAGTAGGCGTGTGCTACAATTTATCCCCTATATGCTATGTGAAATCAGCAAACGATCAAGGAGGCGACTCAAAACACGATTATCGATTTACGGTATACCTGGAGGCAATTCCTTGGCTGTTCGATATCCAGGAGATTAAATGGAAGGACATTTGGATCCAATTTGGGAGAGAGAGATGCGCCATGCAATTCACTCGACTTTTAATCGAGACGTGAAGAAATCCCTTCTTCATACAAGGCAAATAAACCTGCGGGATCAGCCGACGTCAGAAGATCAAGAAAAATTTCGTAAACTTATATAAAAACTTCATGATTCTTTTTATTTATTTTATTACTTTTTTTCGGAAATGCTCACTATTGTTTTCAATAACAATGTATTTGTTGATATCAAATTTTTGAGAAGTCTGAGTTTTTTTTTTGCAGTTATAAATTTGTTTCTGATGAATTTTTGATCTTAAAATTTTCAAAAATTTGAAAACAAAACAAGAAAGCAAATTCGTCGAAAATACCATAGCGTATCGAATGGCAGAACCTTTTCTTGAGGAATATTCAAGGAGGCTACGAGAAAAAAGTTTGTGATGTGCGAAGTACCGCCCCTTCGAAAAATTATATAAGAAACAAAATTCTCGAACTATTTCCATCGGGAGTGAAGAGGGAAAAGCAGAAGAAAAGCTTGAATGGTCCAGTTCTGTGAATTCTTGAAGAATACCGGAAAAATTAAATCACGTGTCTTCAGAAAGTGAGTCAGCCTTCGTGGCCATCTACTCGGGACTGTTTCACGTCTCGAAAAATTCTATAAAGAAATTTAGAGTTCTTTTAGACATAGTTTCTTGAAAAAAAAAACAGAATTACAGAAAACGGAAATTGTTTGGGTTTCATAGGGCTGATCGTGGCATTGAGAGTCATCCATGTGGAAAGATTTTTCAGCTTCCATTCTGTTATTATTAGCAATCAATGGAAGAAGAAGTCTCGTCAACGTCACGTGCCACCACACAGGGTCTTCTTCGGCTAGATGAGAAGCTTGAGCAATAGCCAACGAATGAAAGGGGGATCGTGCTCCTTGACGACACACCGCGATGAGGGTCTTCATGGAACGTAACGAGGTCCATAGATATTGATAGATCAAGTACATTTAGGTTTTTACCATGTTTTTTCAAATTCAAGCATTTCCGGAAACGACTGCATATCTGCAGATTGGGGCTTGCTTTTTTGGAATCAAACCTGCAGGGTAAGTAAGCAAAGATCTCTCGCATTCCTGAGGCAGTGTTAAAAGATCTAAATGCGGACACGTCGAAAATCTAAACCCTTAAAAGAACGCTTTGGGACCAGCATTCAAAGTATTTAACTGGTTCTGGCTTTCAACTTTTTATGTGAAGGGTTTATATTTGCAACATGTAGCCCCACTTACTGTTAACTAATCATAGAAATCACTAGAACTGTTAAGGAGGTGTTCCAACCTGCGAATCATAGCTAGTTGTCTTGGCGCAATGAGCGCTTTACCAGTTGGCTATGTTGGCTAGTTATCTCGCCGTGCGTCATGTCATTCGGGAATGCTGGCCGCGACCCAATATGAACGTCCATTTCAAATGAAAGAGAGACGAAATGCTGATTGGTCAGGATGCCTACAACGCGTGCTTCGAACATAGCTGTGGAACTCAAATAGGCAGTTTTCGGGAGTTACCAGGAGTCATCCCCTTTCTCCTACGCTAACCAAGGTCACAGGCACATGCAGTGATCCAACTTGACGGCCTCGATGGTCACCTACCTAGGTAGTGTCGGTCAAAAGGCGCCATCGAGGCCGTCAAACTGGGTAATCAACTTGCGTAGGTAGGTAACGCGCCAAACTTTCCCGAAGTGTTAACTAATCACAACCTCTCTCCTTTCGTTATGAAAGAACAAGTCAATTTAGTTTTTTTTCTTCTCCTAAAACCTGGGTTCTGAAAACTAGCTCTTCCAGTAGTCTTTTCAAGGTTTGTAGAGTCAAAGATGGAACATGTGTGGCATATGGATGAATATCAACTTGCTTAATTGAAACTCGAGCAAGCCATCGTTCAATTGGAGACGTCTTTATCGGCTAAATGTAACAGTTAAAGCTCTATATTCTGAAAACGTTAATGACTTATACGTTCTAAAAACGGACGGACGCATTTTGCTTCGATCACTTCCTCTTCCTGACTGATGGTGGTTTCTTCGACTTGCTCTGCTGACCACCAGCTTTTGTCGCTCTTACACTGCCGCTTTTCTTTTCCCCTCTTTCTTTACTGAGCTTCTTCTTAGGCGGTTCTTTAACTTTCTTAACATTTACTGGCTGAGTCTTGACCTTATTTTCAGGCGACAATTCCTTTTTTCTTGAACTGCCACTTGACTTCTGCGTAGACAGTTTACTGAAAGATCCAGCCGTGCTCTTACCCCCGGTAGTACCAGTTGTAGCACCGCCAGTTTGGACTTGGAGCCTTTCTTGGGTTTCTGGTGATTGCGGTGGCTGTTGCTGCGATTGCCGTTGCTGCATCAATTTGGCTGCAGCCTGCTTCTCGAGGAAAGCTCTGAGCAGATCTTCGCGTTCTTTTTTTTCTCTGGCTGATTTGAATTTGCTGAGTTGATTGAGGAGATCGCCCAATGAGCCAGCTTTGGTCGATCCTTGCTGTTCAGCCAAATTAACCGGTCCCATGATCGACGTGTACTCGATCAGGTCCGGTTGAGTTTCTTGCAACTTCTTGAGAAGCTCATCCTCGTCCTGCGGCGGCCCTTCCTTCTTTTTCTTTTTCTTCGTTTTGTTTTGATTGCCACCCTCCTTATCATTCTCCTCTACTTCTTTTGAAGCTTTCTTCCCGTCTACCTCTGTGCCTCCACCTTCTTTACCCTCATCAACTTCCGCTTTCTTCGGCTCAACCCCTTCTTTTTCCTTCACTGGTGACTCAGCTTCTACGGCTTCTTTGAGAATTTGCTCCGCCGCTTTTATATCGAGTTCACCCGCTTCTTCCCATATTTTTTCCGCTATCATTCGATAATCGTCTTCATCACTTTGGGTTGGACATATTTCGATGGGATCTTCATCGATGCATGTCTGAATACGACTATTTAAGACAGAAGACAAAAGCCCCTCCCCCATCCTTATCACAAAGAAGTAATGCCATCACCTCACCTTCAGTCTTTCTGATGAATCTGAGATCTGAAATATTGAAAATCTTTGGGAGAAAATGGATTTCACTCAAGCATATCAGGCACTTAACTTTTGTTGAAATTTTGCGACAAAACTTTTGTATATCTCAGCCATCTACCGTAATACTCTGTAATCCCTACTCATGCAACCGTATTCGGTCCACTTAAACTACTCGGCTCCTCCAATTCAGCTCTTTTTGGCAGGGTGTATTCCTTCTAGGGACAATCCCACTAAATGTTTGTAGCTGATCCAGAAATTGCCACTAGTCAGAGGGTGGTCCTCGGATAAGCAGAACGCAGGAGCGGTGAAAACGGCATATCACCTGTATCACCTGTCGTCCCGTTGATCATCGAAATCCTCGAGCGGGCGCCAGTAACGTCTCCATTCGTCCCTGTCACGAGCCAAAGTGGTCCAGTGAACCGTTCTCGCTTCAGGGACACGAGGTTCAACATTCCTTTCGTTCAGAGCTTTCGTGAAGAAGTCTGACCATCTCGTCGGCGGCCTTCCTGGTGTTCGTTTGATGTCCCGAGGGATCCAGTCAGTAACCGCCCTGGTCCAACGGTCATCACTATATCGCATAACGTGTCCGGCCCACCTGATCTTCGATTTCTTGGCGTAATCAACGGCATCCCTGATCTTCGTTCGGTGACGAAGCTCGGAACTCCGGATTCCCTTATGCACTTGCGTGTATAGGGAAATTCCGAGCATCGTCCTTTCCAAAGCGCGT